ATCCGTAAGCTCCCTAGCGATTTGAGCTGCGGACAGCCCGTGGTTGTCGAACGCCTCGACGATCTTGGAAGCGATCGTGCGGAGAAGCTCCTGCCAATCCCCGAATGATCTTGGGAACTCAACAGCGCCCTCCCCACTTACCTTGGCAGCCTCGTCCTCCTCCGCCTTGTACTGATCAACCATGTCGGTCACTTCACGGACGACCTGAGGAGGCAGACATCAGCTCACGTCCATCAGCCAGCATGCGGATCTTGCACGGGGCGCGATCTCCAACAACATCTACCTGTCCAGGTCGCGCATCCCTCCTCGCCGTACCCTGGAAGCCCTCCTCAGCATTCTGCTCTCCAGGTCCAGTCAGCAGCTCGAGCTTCTTGGCACCGATCCTAGCACGCGCAAGTGAGGATGAACGAGATGAGAGGAAGAGATGAGAGGAATATGCATCTTTCTGTGTGTATACTCCAGCAGCATGGGAAGGAGGAGGAGTGTTGCTACCTCCTGTCGGAAGATCGGGTACGGAGAGGACTTCTTGCCTTGTCCTCGTTGCCGTCATTGAAGAAATCTGCGAGCGCCTGGAGATGCTTCGGCCGCACCTGAGGAGGTTCAGGGGGTGAGACAAGAGCCTTGAAGAGCGAAGGAGAATGAAGAACCTTGATGATCTTGCTCTGACTTGCTGATCCGAACTCGCTGGCGGTTTCAACCTTGACTATCACTCTATCGTCGTCATATCCGATGATACTTGCCGTCCTCCCGTTGATCTCTGTTGCCGTCTTCAACCCAATCACAACAGCTCTCGATGAGACGGGAAACTTCATCTTCACTTCCTCCGGCAGAGCATCTCTCTTGAACGCGACGTCAAAGTCGTCTCGTGCTCGCTCTTGGTCGCGGAAGGAGAAGGGGACGTTTCTCCCCGTGCTCGCATCAAAGTTGCTGCATCCAGGGATTCGGCTACTTGGAAGCTCTTCTTTGGGAGTGTTCCCTCCCTCGGCCTTCTGATTCAAGAATCGCGAGCTGGGCCCTTGCTGAGGCTGCGATCTTGACGCCTCGGTCTCATGGTGACGGCTCGAGTGATGATGTCTTGAAGCATCATTCGCGTTGAACACGGGCAGACTTAAGTTCTTCTCCCTCACCATGATCTCGTTCCCGTCGTCCAATCGAACAAGCCACTTGCTGTCTTGTTCTTCCTTCACTGCGGTGCCCACTTGACCATTGTACTGCCTTGCATTCTTCAACCCGAAGATATGTACTCTATCGCCCTTGCTGAAAACGTTCTCCTCCTTCCTAGGTCCTGAGATGCTCTCGAATTCATCTACGTCAAGGAAGTCTGACGGAACTTTGTTATGGGTTCTGTCGTTCTTCAATTTTTGGATCATTCCTTGCATCAGGTCATGTCTTGATGCCATCTTCGGACACCAATTCGGATCGCTGGCTTTACAAAATCACCGGTGACGAGAGCCTGCAGCATTCTTTGATCAGACTTTATTTCTTCTCTCCTGTTGTGAGTACAATGATCCTGTAGCATCTCAATTACAGAGCTCATATCTATCTGGCTCGTTTCACGTCCCCCCATTCATTTTCATTTCTCACTGTATTTCGCAGTCTCCATGTTCTCTCCTCAGTTGGCATCTTTTCTTACAAGTCTCATGTACTCCCTTCCTCTCCTCTCCTCTCCTCTTCTGTTCGCTGTGCTGTGCTGTGCTGTGCTGTGCTGTGCTCTCCTCTCTTCTCCTCTCCTCTCCTCTCCTCTCCTCTCCTCTCCTCTCCTCTCACTGTATTACAAGTGCGCTTTGCACTTCAATGTTCGCTCCTTCCCAGCATTGACTACACTGGTCAAAACTGCATGCTACCTCCCTACCCCTCTACCCACCCCCATGTTTGGTGGACCCCTCCTTTTGATAGGAAAAGTACCCCATTGACTAGCTAACATTGCCACCGCTGCAACGTCGCAAAGCAACAAAGCGCTCCGCCTCAGAGGTAGACAAGTTTGACGTGAAACGACGACAAACGAACACCAAGTTAGATCAAGAAGACAAGACAAGACAAGACAAGACAAGACAAGACAAGACAAGACAAGACAAGACAAGACAAGACAAGACAAGACAAGACAAGACAAGACAAGACAAGACATGACATGACATGACATGACATGACATGACAAGACAAGACAAGACGAGACAAGACAAGATACTGAAGAACACACACACACACACACACACACACACACACACACACACACACATGATGAGTCAATAGCTGTGTTGGAACCCCAAAATCCATCGGACTGTGGGTAGTGCATTATTCATACCATGTACCTGCCAATCAGCTTCTCTTTTCCATTGGAGGAAACAAGTTCCAATAAACCAGCTGCAGTCAGAGTAGTTTTAACAGTCTTTCATTGGAATCGGAATAATTAACAAAGCTCCCTTGCTGGAGGTTGGAAGCAGATCTCGGACGTTCAGGTCAGGACGATCAAAAGGCGTCATGTGGCTACACGACGCCGAAAGCGATGAGGTTTGGAAGTGCACTTGAGCAAGAAGCTCACTTGTGCAGTTCTGCTTCAATCGAGCTGTGCTCTGCAATCGCAGAATCTTCAGCGCTCTTCTCGGATGCGGTAGCAAGAGGCATCGAGCGGAGAGCCTTGACGAGGCCTGGAAAGAACGGCATCAGCACAGGAACAGCAGCTGCTACTGCACCAACCTTGAAAGCCATCGCTGTTTACCGTCAACTCCTTCGGAGCTTCAACGCTCGCATTGTTCTCTGTCACCTCATGAGCCTCGTCTGACTTCGTTCGACCTCGCTTCCGCTTCTTCTTCTCTGTCACTTCCAGCACAAGCCCAGCACACTCCTTACAGCGACGGCGGACCTTGTTGTGCTCGCAGAAGCTCCTTCCCCCGCAATCTTTACACAGGCCTTTGCGCCTCCCGTGCGCACAGATCTCAGACCCCTTACACTCTTTGCACAGTCTCCTCTGACGGTTGTGAGCGCAGATACCCGCTCCGTGGCAATCTTTACAGAGCCGCTTCTCACGGTTGTGCTCACAGATTGCTGACCCTCGGCACTCCTTGCACAGGCTCCTCCTGCGATTGTGCTCACAGATCCCCGAGCCACCACATTCCTTGCATCTCCTCTTCTCCCTCTTGTGTATACAAATACCGGAGCCCCCACAATCTTTACACAGCCTGCGTTCCCTGTCATGCTCACATATTCCCGAGCCCCTACACTCTTTGCATCTTCTCTTCTGTCGTTTATGAACACAGATGCTGGATCCGCCGCATTCCTTGCACAGCCTCTTCTGACGATTGTGTTCACAGGTTCCAGAAGCTTTCTTTTCTTTTCTCCTCTTCTTGTTCTGAGGAAGCATGACCTCGCAGTCTTTGCACTCAGTTCGCTTGCAGCTATGTTCACACATTTCAGAAAGATAGCAAGCTTCGCACTGTGATGCTTCGTTGCCGTGATCACACTGAATCTGACTTTCTTTCGCATCATCTGAAGGCATACAAATTTTGCATTTCTCCTTGATTGCATTATGCGAGCAAAGCGAAGGGTTCAAGTTCTTGTTCTCCTCCATGCAATCAATACATTTGTCGAATTGCATATTGTGCTTGCAAAGCTCTTCAAACTGCTTGAACTCCATCTTCTCATCAGCTTGTTGTGTTTGCTCGCTGCCTATCATCCCACTCTCACCACTCTCGCCATGTTCCGCGCTGTCGACGCTCAAGTTTCGCGGCATGGTCGCCAAGCGGCTCTGGCCGTTCCCTCCCGCGCAGCGACTTCAATCAGAACTGAATAGCAGGGTGGCTGATTTTATTTCAATATAATTTTGAAAGTTTAGTAAAGATTTTGAAATATTTTGAGATTCAGCAGAAATTGTCGGCCCCAGGCCCGCCGGCCAGCCCGGGTTGTCGGCGCCCGCCGCCCGGCGACGGTTCGATCGAGTACGGTCGCCCGGCCCGGCGGCCCGGCCCGGCGCCGTGACGGCCGCGCGGCTGACGGGCCGTTCCCGGACTCGGGACTCCGGTATCAGAGTTAAAAACTCGCCGAGAGTCAGCGACCGGGCGAGGACACTGAACTTCGCCGTCGGAAGAGAAAAGACAGCGGCAAGTCGTTTCAGCCTGTGTGTTGTCAACCGCCATGACTCACTCCAGGCTCGGAATGGGACCGTCTCGAGGAGGACCCGGAGCAGGAGGAGACAAGAATCAGGACTCCGGGAACAAACAAGTTCCGAGGTGGACTCCGGGAGGGGGCAGTAGCCTGAGGAACAAAAGAGCAGCGGACTCAGTGAGTGAGCGGCTGAGCCCCCGCATCCCAAGTTTCAAGTTTACATCCCGATCGCCGCCGCCCGTGCTCGCATATGCTGCCGCCCCCGCCACTACCGGACGGCGCACATTACGTAATGAGTTAACTTGGGCCCGGCGGGGGCCCACCGGCCGCCGCATCCGATGATCTTCCCCATCGTGACCATCATCAGCCTTTGCAAAGACGCTCTCCTCTTGAGGATAGATCCGACGTCGATCTTAGTCGATCTCTCCTCTTTCCGCCCTCTGAAGCGATAGGAGATATCACTACTGTCCTTTAAGCTGACAGAGACTTAGAGGTTCCCAGCACAAACCCAGATAGGGACCAGGAAGGTTCTACTCGAGAGGATTGCGAGCTTGTCTTCGAGGCTTCTGGCCTCCAGCCCCCAAGTGGGTTGAGAAATGCTTAACAGCGATTCGTGTTCGGTCAACAGGTAAACAAGCGTCATCTGCTGCTTGTAGTGTTACAACCAACCTTTTGATATTGTACAGTCTAATCAATGGATTGAAAACCTTGAGAGAGAGAGGCTGCTTCGGCGAATCAATTATTTCGATGCGAGGTAGAGAGGTATGAGGCCTGAAGTACATAGGCGACACTCTGACTCTGTGAGCGTGGTATACCAGACCAAGCGGAGCTCACCGCACCCAGAGACACACATGACCATGCACGAGCTCCATGCTCCAGCAAGGAGTAGGAGATTGCCCTGCTTATTGTGTTCTATTAACAGCAGCTTTAATTGTCCTAGTGACCTGTCATAAAGGTAGCAGTGATTTTCCTAGTGATCTCCCCGACTCTACAAGGTTGCCTTATAAAAAAGGCACAGATAGGAAAATGCGTACCCTCTTTTGTCAACCTCAGTCATGCTAAGCAAGGTCTTCACAAACAAAAGAGAGTCGACATCACAGATGCAAGACAATCGAAGATCACACAGAAACTTTCACTAGCGAGAAAAACTGTACACCTGAGTCCAAGTGTCATGGCACGGTCTGCAATGCGCATGCAAGCACAGTTAAAACGCAAAGATCTTCCACACTATCGTTTCCCTCGCCTCTTCTTCTTCCACTCCCGGACCCAACATTCAGGTCCCAACACTTCCCAAAGCTTCCTCTCGCTCTCATGTTGGAGTCAGCCATGGGGCTTAGTTCGCTAACTTAGCAACGCCAAGCCATCAACTAGGTTATGATCTTTAACGATCATAATTCTGAAAACATCTCTTTTCGAAATCTCACGTCCATTGACTCTTCGTTCCAATCGGTGTCAGTAAACCACCCACCCTGATAGAAAACATTGACAATACTACCCCATGACCCCGAATATATGCAGGTCATGGTACAAAAGAACGTCACGAACCAAAACTTCACCACCCTACCCCCTACACTCGGACGTCGTTTCAATCGAATCGTCAAAGACAAAAAACACCCTAAAAATAACCTCCTTTATGACCCTACCATGTCTGATCACTGTATTGTCAGTCAAAAGTACCGGTGGTATTGCCCCCATCCTGTTGATAAAACTCCCTGTGCTCATAACGTCTCCCCACCGACCAAGGCTCAATTCCCCTCCCCCCCCTCCCCTTCCTCCACGCGCCGCCTCTCCCCCCTCGCCACTCCTCCCTTCCTACCTCGATGTCTCAGAGCAATATCACCCTCGACCAGCTCAGCCACTACTTCCACCTCCCAGAGAAGCAGGTTGCACAGGAGCTCGGTATCTGCCTCACCTCCCTCAAGAAAATCTGCCGCGCTCGAGGCGTCATGCGCTGGCCCTTCAGGAAGCTCCGCCGCCTCCAGCGCACCCTCAAGAAGGTCGGCAATGACACCGACTCGCTCTCGATCATGACCTCGGGCCGCGATCTCTCCCCAGTCCCTATGGCCGAGGCCATCGACAGGTCCCCGTCGTGCCAGTCCGGGTCTCCGGTCCCGTCCGTGCACGGCTCGACGCAGGCGTCGTGCGAGCCTGCGGAGGCAGAGCAGCAGGTCGAAGGCTCCTTGTCGGACCTCTGGCCCACGTGCACCATCAGCGGGGCGCACATGCATCAGCTTATCGTACACAACTGGAGCTCCTTGTGGACTGTCCACCAGATGCGGCGGCGGCTGCTGACGGCGCTGGGAGGCAAGGATCTGACCATCTCCCCGGACGGCATCAGGGCGTACCTGGTCTACACCAGCTCACTTGCGGCCATGCAGGCGAAGGCAGTGTGCGAGCAGGCGTGCGAGCTACTGCGGGAGCGGGCGGGGAGCGCCGGGGAGGCGAGAGGGGCGTCGCTGGAGGAGGCCGCGAAGGCGGCAGAGGCGGCTTCGGAGCCACAGCAGCCGATGACGTTGATGTCGATGGTGGAGCCGGGGGCAGGGCTGGAGCTTGAGGGCTTTCTGGCGCAGACATCAAGCCATGCCTGCTGGTGGTCCGTTGAGGACAAGGAAGCCGAAGGAAAGAAGGAAGAGTGCCAGTTCCTGTGTACCCCTCCTTCAAGCCAGCCCCTGTCTTCCTGCTTTCTTGAGGAAATGCATTTTCTTTCTGGTCCAGCCAGTGGAGGACTTTGCAATTCCCATCTCGTCAGCGTCTAAGAAGATTGAACGAGTTTTGTATATAGGTTGTTTTGAGTGTGATTCAATAAATAAAGACATGCAAAGAAAGTGTTCGAGATATCTCACACGAGTGTTTTCACATGATATTGTCAAATCGAGAGGTCACAGCTTGGTAAGCGAGACGCTTTTCGGGGTTGCCATGAAGTTTGTCGGATTGTCCTTTATTAATAGCAATTCTGAAAATCAGAACTTCAAGATGGAAAGAGAACGTGTATGCCATATGCCGCCTATTCCAGCGCTTCAAGAATCAAAGCAGTAATATGCAACTAGTGAAATGACTGCAAGTAAATCGAGCGGGATGAAAAGAAGCGTTGAATATCACATTTCGTTTTAATTTCAAGTCAAACAAGGCTAATAATTGTATAAAAACACACTACATTTACAAGAATTGAAAACTGAAACCACAAGGATGGGAGACCGGGTCAAACAGATTCGAGGTCAAGCTCGTTTCCGGCGGGGACACAAAATGACTGAATTCTGAAGGCTCTTCGTCATGATGTCCCATGCCATCGAACTCTTCCCCACTCAAAGGCTTACTCGGAGTTTGCGCCAGAAAGCCCTCAAGCTCCAGCCCTGCCCCCGGCTCCACCATCGACATCAACGTCATCGGCTGCTGTGGCTCCGAAGCCGCCTCTGCCGCCTTCGCGGCCTCCTCCAGCGACGCCCCTCTCGCCTCCCCGGCGCTCCCCGCCCGCTCCCGCAGTAGCTCGCACGCCTGCTCGCACACTGCCTTCGCCTGCATGGCCGCAAGTGAGCTGGTGTAGACCAGGTACGCCCTGATGCCGTCCGGGGAGATGGTCAGATCCTTGCCTCCCAGCGCCGTCAGCAGCCGCCGCCGCATCTGGTGGACAGTCCACAAGGAGCTCCAGTTGTGTACGATAAGCTGATGCATGTGCGCCCCGCTGATGGTGCACGTGGGCCAGAGGTCCGACAAGGAGCCTTCGACCTGCTGCTCTGCCTCCGCAGGCTCGCACGACGCCTGCGTC